TTTGTTTGTGTGCTTTTAGGGCCGAGCTGTAGCTCCTCAAGAACCTTCGAAGCACAGACGTCAGCTCCAAAGCAGCCTTAGGTTCCCGTAGGGGTTTAAGGTTTACCTTAACCCTGAATAACCTACCTTTTTAAGGTTCCTTACTATGATTTCCTTACATAAGTCCTAAAAAAGGTAGGTCCTTCAGGGTTAAGGTAGAGTTTAGGGTTTACAGTTTAGGGTTTAGGGTGCAGGGATTCAAGGTGTAGGGGTTCAGAGTTTAGGGTTCAGGGTTTAGGGTGTCGGGATTCAAGGTTCAGGGGTTTAGTTGAGGGTTTAGAGTTTAGAGTTTAGGGTGTGGGGATTCATGGTTCATGTGTTTAGGGTTTAGGGGTATAGTAGAACATATGCCCCCGAAACCCTGCTCGAAGGATTCATGCTCCCATGCTAGCACGGCGAAGAAAGCCCCAAATACACTGTAAAACCCAACCCCTGCAAGCTGAACAGGTGTCGATCCTCGCCGTCACTGTATCCGGCTCACTCCAGACTCACTCAACGCAAGACCTAATGTCCCTTAAACCCCAAGCCTTGAGCAAATCAAAACCTCAAACCCCAATGAAATGTGCTGTCAAGGGTACATTGCAAAAGGCCACCCTGAACGCCTAGTCTCTGAACCCTACATCCTGGACCCATAAGCCTACACCCATCCCCAAAACCATAACCCTAAACCCAAAACCCATGAACCAAAATCTTAAAGCCCTCAACCCCAAAGCGTCAACACTACTGTAGGGGCCTTAATAATACGAATAGGGTTTGGGGGGTATATTCTACCATAAACATTATATGGAGCCCCCAAAATAGTATTGGGAATCAATTTAGGCACCTATATTACGCACCAGGAGGCCCCCTGGAGAAGTGCCTTTGGACACAGCAGCCGCGCCGTTTGTTCCATTGGCGCCCTGAAGTTCACGCTCTTTGCGATCAAAGGGTCCTAGGTACTGTTATGGGGCATACCTCCCTAAATCATAAAAAGTAATTCCTAATATGGAAACCCTACATTCTACTATATAGGTACTTTCCTCTGTCCCTTCAACCACAAGCACTAAACCCTATACCCTAAGCCCTCAGACCCTAAATCCCATATACTCTATACCGTCTATAAGCCAACCGAGCCGCAGGGCTCATGCTTTCGGCAGTGCTCTTAAGCTGATCCAATACACAAGCCTTCGCAGGCTCTAGGTCAAGAAGTCCGGGTTTAGGGTTTAGAGGGCTTCCCGGTGCGTAGCGATGAGGCTTCTGGGGTTTGAGATTTAAGTGCATGGGTGTAGGGTTTGAGTCATAAGGGCCTTTACGCGGGTGGCCTTAATGCCTATAGCAAGGGCTTAAAAGAGCCTATAAAATGAAGTGTAGTCCCCTGCCCCCCCTCCCCCCTACCCCCCCTAAGGGTCCCTATGACTTAGGGTTAGGGTTTCGGGTTTCTGTTTCGGCTCAGCCTTAATTCAGAGATTTTCAACTGTCGGGTTGACTCTTCAGTGTTCAGGGGTCGGGAGTGTAGGGTATGGGGGCTTACTTGGAGGTTCATGTGTAGATAGAACTGGGGCTATAAGTACGGTAACCAGAAGTAGACCCATAATACGGGACTTAAAACCCCACTTATAAATACCCATGAACCTTCAAGTAGAGTTCAGAGGATAAGACATGTTGGGTATGACTACAGGGAATTGGGCAACTTGCGCCCCGACGAAAAAATGCTACATATCATCGACGGGATTAGGGTCAACTGCAACATCTGCGGGTTGCTAGGTGAGTTTGCAATTATCTGAGGACGCCCCATGGTTCAATGATTGCCAACTATTCCGCCGGCTGAAACCCCACATCCTACAGGCTAAATTCCCGAAACCCTAAGCCTTAATCCCCAAAACCCTGAACCCAAAGACCCTAAAACCTGCACCGTGTAGGGCTGCGATCAGGGAAGATCTACTGTAGGCACGTTAATAATCAGAATAGGGATTTGGTCCCTTTTATACTGATTACAATTACAATAAGGACCCTCCCCAAAAAAGTATAAGCAATTATTGAGGCCCTATATGTTGAGTCAGACCCTGAGACTTGACAGATTCGGGTCCTTCGTTGACGGCATCAGCAGAGCCCAATCCCCACCACAAAAATTGACACAAAAAGGAAGGCTCGACAAAGTTTACGACCTTCAGAGGAGAAAGGACCATGAAGAGAGCGAGACAGCTGGTAAGAGACAAAGCAACTCTCTACGCATATTTCATGAAAATATAGCTGTAAGCGCGAAATCAGTGGATCAACACATTCGCCCCAATTCAAGAGAACAAGACCTTCCACGTCTATGCATCCGCTATCTATCCGACCAATCTGGGAGTTTCCGAAAATAGGGGACCCTAATATAGTACCCTAAATCGTAGGACCCTTACTATAAGGACCCCCCAAGTAAGGTACCCCTAATTTTCGGAAACGCCCATCTGAAGTCCCGGAACCCTCAAGTCCCCCCGAACCTGGTGAGCCCTAAAACCGGAACCCTGGACCCGCAACACCTAAACCTCAATTACTTAACCCCTATAAACCCGGACCATCCCCCATACTACGGTTGATGATATAAACCCTGCATTACCTTAAGGACCCCAAACTATGGGAATGATGCTATACTCCTTATTATGGGTAATGCAGAGAATTCGCATCATCAACAGTAGGCCCTAATAACTCTATAGCTCCCAATATCCTACAGCACTGATACCCCGAATCGCTGAGCCCGAGCACCATGGTGTTGTTAAGGTCACCAGAAAGGACCTCGTCCTTCGACCTGGCAAGGTTGCGAATAGGGTTTAGTGTGTAGGGTTTTGGGTTTAGAGTTTAGAGTTTAGGGCTTAGGGTGTAGGGTTTTGGGTTTAGAGTTTAGAGTTTAGGGCTTAGGGTGTAGGGTTTTGGGTTTAGAGTTTAGGGCTTAGGGTTTAGAGTTTGGGGTTTAGGGCTGAGGGTTTAGGCTTAGGGTTTAGGGTTTGCGCTGTAGCGGTGTACGGGGAAGTTGTCTAACTGGCTTCATCAGGCCTACGGGGTACATAAAGCTTTAGACGGACTCTAAAGCTTATAGGGCTTATGAAGCTTGTAAAACCCTAGGGGTGCACGGTCTCTACAGTTTATAGGGATTAATTATGAAGTTTATAAAACCCTAAACCCCAATATTGGTGGCATGGTTCAAGCTCGCGTGCTTGAGGTAATTGGGGTTATGGTGCACATAAGTCCCTAAGAGAACAAGTTACTAAGTCCCCCGACCCTCCAAGTAGGGGCCTTTAATAATTGGAATAGGGCTTTGGGGCTTCATTATAATAATTCTGGTCAAACCCTATTCTAAGGACCCTGTTTGATGTTTAGGGTTTAGGGCGGTTTAAGGTGTAGGGGTTTAGGGGTCAGGCAGTGAAGATCTACACACGAAAATCCTGAACAGCAGCACCTGTGATCACCCGAGAACTTTAGGGCTCATGTTGCAAGTACTAATCACACCTGAAGCATCTCATTCGTGAATCCAAAGAACAAAGCACCCTGACTGATCTCGCACCACGGAAAAGTGTGCTCTACAGTCAGTGCACATGCTGTCACAGGCTATGTGCTGGATTGCATTAGACCACAACACTGTCAAAACGCCGCCTGTACCCGTAAATCCAATTCCTTCCTGTAGTCTGCCATCTTGTCCATTGTGTGTCGAGTCCAAAGGTCGTGATTCTTCCAACTTTGGGCTGGGTTAGATCTTTTCGCTCGGAAACTTTGCACTCATTTAGGGACTGTGCAACTTCCTCCTTAGTACATAGCGAGATAAGGCTGTCAGATTTCAATTAGTATAGAAAGGGAAAAACCGTAAACCCTAAAACCAGAAATCCTACAGGGCGAACGTTACTCACACGCGGCTGCAAGGAGCCTTACCTGAAAGACGGACCTCAGCCCAGCAATCACACCCAAAAAGAAATAATAACAGCAACAGTAGTCGCAGTAAATGTTGTAGCCATGATGGGTAACGGTTATAATGTTTCGGCGTTTAACAATATTACTCAATAATCATAACAACAACAGCGGACACTGTGATATTAGTCATAACAACAACAATGCCAGAGCCCTAAACAGGACTTTGGGCACCTTAATAATTGGAATGCGATTTTGGGTAGATTATACTACAACTAAAATAAGGAACCTCCCCAAAATACTATTGCTGTTATTTCGGCCACTATATTGAACAGTGTGGTGATGCCTGTTCGTGGGCTGCGGCGCCGCCGTCGGCTTAGGTGCGGGCTTGTCCGCAGAGGCGTCGCGCTGCTTCTGAAACCCGTTGAGGTTTAGGAGTTTAAGTTTAAGCGTTTCGGGGCGGAGGCTTAGAATGTAAGGTTTAGGGGTTGAGGGCTTCGGGTTTGGGGGTGGTTAACCCCGACATTGAATGAAAATGGTTTTAAACTCCAAACCTTGCAAAGCCTGCACCCAGGCTTCTGGCATTGCCCGGTTGCGGAAATTTTGCTTAGGACATTTTATGACTATAGTTCGAACTCCCAAAACCTATTTTTTTGCACTGGCCCTATGAATTCTGTATGAGGGCTGAGAATACGAACCTACAACAAAGTAGTTTACGGTAGGGCTGTGCTTGCGACTTGACAAACACGTCTCAACACATGCGAGGAAGTACGCCGATTCGGACATAAACACAAATACACTGAATCAAAGCGGTATGCCCTAAACCCGAAACCCTGAACTCTAAACGCTGAGCCCTGAACACTAAAGCGACTTGCCTCATCCAGCACAGCGGTGGTGTGTCGAGCTTGCGGTGTGATGCATGATCTAAACATGCTCGAGGCTCGGTTGAATTGGTTGCATATGAAGCTGAAACATTCGACGGGTTCCTGAAATAATGCATATTGGGTAAGCAAGTCTAATCGCATAGCCATGCAAACTGACCGTGGTCCTTTTTGACATCCAGGATCGGGCATTTCGTCGCCACTTCGTTTCTGGGAAGCGAACTACGGCAAAACAAAGATGGCGTAGTCGTAATCGTAGCCTGAGCTGATCGTCCAAGGGCAATTTTCGTTGCAGAGGTGGTCTGAACCAATGAGGCCACCGATGCCGCCATCGCTACCCCAGTGGTGCCGCTCCGTTCGCATTTCCGCATCTGCCTGCGGCCGTGATGTTTTGCCACAGGTGTTGCCCCCGCTGATCATCTGAGTGTCGTACTGGGTGCCAAGGCCGGCTCCAAAGTTTCCGGACCAGTTGACGTCGACGTTCACGGAGAGCCGATTGAAGTCGAAGTCCCCATTCTCATGGTTTGAGTTCACATAGAGCTTATCGGTGCCGTCGATCGTGTTCTTGATCAGGGGCTCGTTCTTGACGAGGGTTCCCACGTCACCACCGGTGGTTTCTACAGCCATCTGGAACTTCTTCTCCTGAAGCCCTGTAGAGCAAGTGTTGCCGATCGTGAACCAGCCCTGCAGCGTCTTGGTGTCGACCAGCTTCCAGGAGCGCCATCCAAGCGCCTTGCCCTCGTTGTGGCAGACGATGAGCAGTTGCTTGGCCTGAAGCTTGTTGAAGACATCCACGTCCTTGTAGTCCCGAGTGAAGCGGTCTCCCACTTTGTCGCTGGCGCCGCCGAGGGCCGTGGCGGACTCCCAGAAGTCGGTGTTGATGTACGACACAACATTGCCATCGTTCGTGTCGATGTTGAGGGCCAGGTGCCAGTCGCCGGAAGGCGTGGTGCCGAGTCCCGAGAAGTCCAAGCCGGAGGTGCCGCGAGATGGCTGCTGGCAGCAGGAAGCAACACACGCTTTGGCCGGGCTGTCCGCTGGCAGGCCGTCGAAGTTGGCCTGCACATACCCTGCACTGCCAGCCTTGTTCGCAGGGACGTGGCAGGTGGGCTTGTTGGGGATAGTGGAGAGCTGCAGCGGGAGGTCGCTGTCGGCCTGTGCGCTCATGTCCTGTGCCTGGCAGCTGTCAATGGCGCTGGCCCTCTTGGACTCCTCGAGATTGAAGACCTGAATGATGCACTCCATTCGCAAGATGGCGCGCCACTCCTTCCAGTGTTGGGGAGGGCACATTGCTCAACATGTTTAAACGCACCGATGTTTAAACGCTCGAAAACCGAGGGAACCGTCTGACGAGTCATGTCTAAACAGTTTTTCATTTGATGCTCGAACTTACTTGAAACCTGTCAAACTTAACTGTACGTCATTAAATGCAACCGTATGTTTAAACATGATTCAACGGTTCAGTTCAAAGTTGTTCAAACCAGATAACACTTGAACCAATCTTGAGGCTAAGTGTGTAAACCTATGTGCCTAGAGATGCGTGGCACTCACAGAACTGTTTGTATGTCTGCTTTAACACGGGCTTAAACACATCGGGGATGTGCGGCACTCAGGGAACTGCTTCAAAAGATGTTAGAACATGGTTCAGACCCATTCCGGATGTGTGGCACTCAGGCACCGTTTCAACATGCGTTTAAACAGAATCGGGAAGTGCGGCGTTCACGGACGGGACGTGCTTAAACCAACGTTAAAACGTGGATGTCTAGCACTCCGGGAGTTGGCACTGGAGCGTTTAAGCATGTTTAAACTCACATGCATAGAAACCATGCTTTAGACATCTCAATGCGACGAGACTGAAGAAACAAAAACAACAAACATTCGCCGAATGGCCGAACATGTTCAAACAAGTTTAAACCACCTAAACGCTTTTAACACGACCCCGACTCCTTCTTCAAGCTGTCCAGCTGGGTCATGGAGGACGTCTGAACTGACTCGTAATTCGAGACGGCCTTGTCGTAGCACGTTCCAGAAGCCTCACACTTGCTAGTCGCTGCCTCGTAGTGGGAGCAAGACAGGCTATCCATGGCATCCTGCACACTGTCGCAGTTTTCCTTCTGGCTTTCGTAGGTCTTCAAAGCGACGGTGCACTCGGGTCCCTTGTCTTCCAACTCCTTCTTGGCTTTGGCGCACCCCTCCTTGAGCTTCTTGTACTCTGCCAGAGTCTTCTGCGAAGCCTCGATCAGCCGCGCGTGGTAAGCCTCGAAGGCCTCGCCAGACTTCACTTCACAAGAGTCCTTTGCACTGTACATGGTCTTCTCCAGTGCTTCCAGCGCGTCGCAAGTCGTCGTGGCGGTGCTTGTCACTGTCTTCAGCTCGGTCTGGCAGGTGTTCTGCGCATCGAGGTTCTGCTTCTGAGTCTGTCGACATGTCTTGTGGGCTGCGCTCTTGGTCGTGAAGTTCTTCTCGAAGGCGGCGGAGCTTGCTTGCATCTCCTGACCACCGCAATCGGACATGGCATTGCCCGCGTTGGTCAAGGTGGCCTGCATGCCATCCAAAGTCTTCTTGATCGAGGGCTTGGCATCGTTCAAGAGCTGCTGGATCTTGTCCACCAAGGCCTTGGTCTCCGGGCTGGACCGGCCCTTTGAGGCGCGGAGGGCCGCCACCAGCGTGTCCTCGAAGTCGAGGTCGCTGTCGGAGTTGACGGGCAGCCTCAGCAGGTTCAGCGAGCCCTGCTTCAAGGCAACGGCTCCCACCACGAAGAGTGCCAGGAACGACTTCATTCCGGGAGAGCGGACGGGAAAAAGGCACTGAGCTAGGTCGGTCAAACTTGGCTCTTGACCTGAGCCAAAGAGGTCATTCTGTAATGTAGGGGCCGGAAAAATAGCATAATATCTCCCCAAACTTCCCTATTCTGCTTGTAAAGGCCCCTGCATTGTAGTACGGGATGGTAGTCGCTGTTCGACGGATTCCCTCCTGAATTGAATGGAGAGCCGACCTTGCAGGGAAGGGAAAAGACCGAATTCTAGCTATAACTACACTTACCTAAACCCCCCTCAGTTTGAGGGTTTAGGCTACTAGGGTACGGGGTCTAGAGTGCAGGTTTTTGGGCCCCTTAACCCCTGCACTCTGAAGACCCCCCAACTATCTGTCTTATACTACTTGATCTGAAGTAATGCAGGGGTAAGAATTTGAAGGCTTACCTTGCCAGAACCAAAATTTTTCACCCGGAAACAAGCTCGGAAACAAGCGTGATGACAACCACAAGACTGATGTAAGCATCAAAGCCCTAAATCCAGCCCTGGAGCCGAGTAATGCAGTGTAATCTACTAGAACATACTATAACATACTATAATCTACTATAACCTAGCTACTATAATGTACTATAACATACTATAATCTACTATAATCTACTATAATATACTAAAACATACGTACTATAACCTACTATTATATAGTATAGCAAACCATACCATAGAGTAGAGATACAGTATGCACACAAGCTGGGGGGGGGGGGAGGAAATTTGGGTACCCAGAGACTCCAATATCCCTTGATTAAGGAATATACCTTAAATTATAGTAGGATCCCTAATATGATTTAAGGAGTATTCCTTAATTAAGGGATATTGGAGGATTTGGGTTCTGGTCCTCCGGCGTCTTCGTTGCTGGCGCAGGGCCGTCTGCGTGGCTGGGGCCCAAGTCCTGGAAAGTCGAAGACCGAACCGGCTCCTTTAAAGGAACCCCTAGGGGTTCCTTTAAGGGATCGGTAAGGTTAGGGGTTCAATAAGGGCTTCGAGTTTAGGGTTTATATAGGGGTTTTGGCGTTTTCGGGTTTAGGGGCTTAAGGGTTTAGGGGTTTAGGGTTTAGGGCTTAGGGGCTAAAGGCTAATAGTGAACCCCAGAGAATTGGAGAGAATTGGAACATGGATTCAGGATGATTCGCGCCAAAGTCCCCTATGGTTTACCTCAATGGCATATACATAATGATGTTCCAACTTTCTGGCTTCTACTGCAGGGTTTAGGGGCCTTCAAGAAAAAAGGGGCAACACTTCGCTTCTGGTGTGTTGCGGTTCAGGGCCTGGGGGGTTGCTAGGTTGACAATATACTCTCAAGAACATTGGGTTTGGGGCCTTTAGAGAATTAGGGTTTGGGACTTATGGCGTCGGGTTTAGGACGAGGGTGTAGGACGGATGCAAGACTCCCGCCCGAAGCCGTTGAAATTGCGGAATGGTTTTCCGGATTGGTATTCCATGATCAAGTAATGAACTACAGGGCTCAAATGCGAGAGTCACCCTCTCTAAACACAGCTCGCGAAACAAATCAGGGACGTCCAATGTCGACGCAGGCGATTTGCATCGTGTAATTATGGAGAATCCCCAAGCCTTCAACCCTAAACCAAAAACGCCTAAACACTAAGCGCTCAACACCTTAACCCAAAACCTTGAACCCTAAACAACCCTAAATCAAGGTTGTCTGCGGATTTGCCGCGACTGGCCCCCGGCGGACTGACCCTCGCGATTTGCAAAACCGATTCTGTAAGGGATACTTCAGGGCTCCTTTAAGGGATCCGCTCGGCGCTCGAAAGGGATCCTTTAAGGGCTCCTTTAAGGGATCAGGGATACTACCAGGGCCTCACCTACTGTTAAACACGAATCTTAAAAGGGTTTATGGTTTGGGGTATGGGATGGTATAGGGTTTCGGAACTAACCAGCTACATAAATGCTACCGCGTGTCTCCATAGTAGCTACTGGTTTTGGGTGGACACATTTAAGAATTAGGATCCTCGCAGGTCACAGAAATCACGATAGAGACTCGAGGTAGCCTTAATAGATCTTAACTTTCGGGGTTTAAGTATAAGGCTTAGACTTAAGTCTTGGTTAAAACTCCCAGCAATCGATGGCCCCTATATAGTACCCTAAGTAGTAGGATCCTTATTATAAGGACCCGTAAATGAGGTACCCCTAATTTTCGGAAACTCCCAGTATCCATGGTCCTGCAAGGCTACCATCGCACTTCGGATTTTCCAGGTCATCTTGTTCTCCGTCCGTACCCACCTTGGCATTCTTCTGGGCTCTTGTTGAGGAGGGGTTTAGGGTTTAGGGGTTTAGGGGTTTAGGGTTTAGGAGTTTAGGGTTTAGAGGTTTAGGGTTTAGGGTTTGGAGGTTGAACTAGGATGCCCAGTAACCTAGGAATAAAAAGGGCTCCTTGTCGGTATTGGGTAACTTTATAGGGAAACTAGGACTACAAAACGGGCATAAGGGTACTACTGCTGGGCATCCTAGTCTGGGTTCTTGTTGAGGCACTAAGCCAAATAGTTCAAGTTATCCCTTGACAACTTGAGCACTTTTCCACCCCAAACCCTGAACCCTCCTAAATCCCGATAGATCCCTATGATGCTAACTTAAGACCCTATACCATAAACTCCCCGAGACCCTGCTGATCCCTATGTGTGATAACTTAAACTAACATCCTAAGTTTCCCCAACAGCCCCTTGATAATAAGGGTACCCTTTATTATGCTACTATTCGGTTTAGGTGAGGGAAACCATCCAAAAAGAAAAAGGGCAAGAGGGTTTTGCTGGGAAACCTATATCCCTAAGCCCCTAAACCTCTAAACCCTGGACCCTTCCGAACCCCTGGACCCTAAAACCCTAAACCTTCGACCCTGATCCCTAAACCCTAAACCCCTAATTGAACCCTAAACCCTAAAACTTCGATCCTTAACCCTAAGACTGGATTGTGCTTTAAACCCTTTGAAAATTATTTATGAATAGGTTCCCTTTATAAGGAAAAAAGGGATATGAAAAAATATTCCAAAGGACAACCCAGAAGAGTAACAGGAACCCAGTCTTCGAAGGTTCAGAATCTGCCAGGAAACTTACGCTCCAAGCTTTTCAGGCTAGAGCACGGGGTTCAGGATTTAGGCTTTGGGGTTTAGGGTACAGGGTTTGGGGTTTAGGGTATAGGGTTTTGGGTATAGGGTTTACGGGCTGGGGTTTAGGGTACAGAGTTTAGGGTTTGTGGTTTAGGGGGCTTGCAGCTGGTAACTTGTCAGATCATCCTACTGCCGAGCCCTTGCAAAAGCGCGGGCCATGGCTTCGCAGTTGGGTTTTGGGACTAGGGCTTACTAGCAGGGTGTGTGGGGCTTTGAGTTGAGGGCTTAAGCAGGCTCTCATCCGTCCTTCACCGTTGAATCCAAGCCCTACAGCCAACCCCTCAAAGAAACAACATGAGCCGTAAGACCCAGTATATTATGCAGTTCCATAACACAGTGCACCCTAATTCCTCTGCTCGAAAGGCTCGCCGAATCAGGAACCCCTCAATGAGAAGCAATCCCTGTGGGGGTCCGGGCATTTCCGACAGGACTTCACCATGCACCTGCATTAGCTGCGGTTCAAGTATTGCTGCTTCGCGCTCGGGAGTTTCGGAATTCGGGTGCAAATCTCTTAGGCGTTGATGGAGGGAGTGCAAGGTTGCTCAAGGCTCAGACGCAGCGCTCCTGCGGGATCACGAAGGCCTCGTACACCCTGAATGCCAAGCCAAGTCGTGCAATCCTGCCTTCATCTGCCAGGACCGACTGTCCAATACAAACACAACTAGACCGAAACAAGGTTGTCCCTTCTGGGAGGAAATAAACTCGGTTCTATGCCATAACCCCTCTCTAGGAACCGTTTCGAGAAAGTACCTTGGCATACCTGCCCATTCTTTATCATAGGGACTACTGATGAGGACAACCGGACAACCTCAAGTAACCCTAAACCCAAAACTTTAAACCCCCGTAGCTCTTAGCACTAAACCCTATAAGCCCAAAAAGCCCAACAATGCGATGATCTCAACCCGAAACCTCGAATCCACTACAAGACATTGGGGCACTTCTTGAGAACCTACCTGTGGATCTAAAAACCTACCGCTTCGAGAGTTAGACGCCACCGTTGGGGAGGAATGGGATGAGTAAGTCGGTGATGATTGAGGCTACAAGTATCCTAATCGGAGATGTCCTCATTTCCTTTGCTTCTAGCTTCGTTGTTAAAGTCCCGGCCGCTAATGTCACGTTGGATCTAAGCTGCCTTCACCATGCTACTACATATCGCGCAGCTGATCCTGTACCGCGCTACTGTCGCCACCACAGCCGGCACTACCCCAGGTGACCACAGATCCATCACCCAGGATTGCAGCAAATGCACCACCAGAAGCTTGGATCTGCTGCACATCTCGCAGCTGATCCTGTACCGCACTGCTGTCGCCACCATGTTTGGCATTACCCCAAGTGACTACAGATCCATCAACAAGGATTGCAGCAAATGCCCATGTGGAAGCTTGGATCTTCTGCACGTCTCGCAGCTGATGCTGTACCGGACTGCTGTCGCCACCATAGCCGGCACTACCCCAGGTGACCACAGAGCCATCACCCAGGATTGCAGCAAATGCACCATGAGAAGCTTGAATCTGCTGCACATCTCGCAGATGATCCTGTACCGCACGGCTATCGCCACCCTGACCGGCAGAACCCCAGGAAACCACGGATCCGTCACCCCGGATTGCAGCAAATGCACAATTGGAAGCCTGGATCTGTTGCACATTCTTCAGCCGGTCCTGTACTGCACTGCTGTCGCCAACGTCGTCGGCCCTGCCCCAAGTGACCACAGATCCATCACCCAGGATTGCAGCAAATGCCCATGCAGAAGCTTGGATCTGCTGCACGTCTCGCAGCTGATGCTGTACCGGACTGCTGTCCCCACCATATTTGACACTTCCCCAGGTGACCGCAGATCCATCACGCAAGA